TGGCTCAAGTGGTAGAGCGCTAGCCTTGAGCTAAAGAGCTGAGGGACAGCGCCCAGGCCCACAGTTCAGGCCCCACGACCGGACCCAAAAAAAAAAAAAAAGAAAAGAAAATTTTTCCAGCCCCACTCCAGTGGCTCACACCTGGAATCCTAGCTACTCAGAAGGCTGAGATCTAAGGATCTCAGTTCAAAGCCAGCCAGGGCAGGATAGTCCATAAGACTCATCTCCAGTAAACCACTCAGAACAGGAAGTGGCGCTGTGACTCAAGTGATAGAGAAAAACTGTCTTGTTTCCATGGAGCAAAGCAAGCTTAACCTCACTGGCATTAATGTAGTTGGGCTAAAATTTTTAGCCCAGTGAATGAGAGGTCGAGTCTTCACACTGTCCAAGAGGGCAGATAACCTCACTTTAGTAATGAGGAACTGGAACCTAGTATCGCAAGAACCAAGGCAGGAAGTTTAGTTGCATATGATTTTTCCTTATATCCACTACTGACTTTTACACTGGTTTTATAAAGTCCTTTTTCGAACCTTTTATTTTATTTATTTATTTATTTTTTTTGGTCCGGTAGTGGGGCCTGAACTCTGGGCCTGGGCGCTATCCCTCAGCTCTTCAGCTCAAGGCTAGCGCTCTACCACTTGAGCCACAGCACCACTTCCAGTTTTCTGGTGGTTAATTGGAGATAACAGTCTCATGGACATTGCTGCTGGGGCTGGCTTAGAACCACAATCCTCAGATCTCAGCCTCATGAGTAGCTAGCATTATAAGCATAAACCACTGACCCCCAGCTATAATCCTATTTTTTTTAATTTTTTTTGGGGGGTCCAGTTGTGGGGCCTGAACTCTGGGCCTGGGCGCTATCCCTCAGCTCTTCAGCTCAAGGCTAGCGCTCTACCACTTGAGCCACAGCGCCACTTCCGGCTTTTTTCTTTTTGCTTATGTGGTGCTGAGGAATCGAACCCAGGGCCTCAGGCATGCAAGGCAAGCGCTCTACCACTGAGCCACCTTCCCAGCCCATCAAACCTTTTATTTATTGAGTCAAAGACTGCTTGTTTTCTTTTTTTTTTTTTTTTTTTTTGGTGCTAGTTCCAGAATAATATTGAAAAGGAGTGGAAGAGTGGACATCCTTGCCTTGTTCCTGATTATAGAGAAAATGGTTTTAGTTTTTCACCATTTAGCATGTTATCCCTACAATAAATGGTCAAAAAATGTGATAAATACAATGGAATTTTACTCATCCATTAGAAAGAATAGTATGTCACTTGCAGGGAAATAGATGGACCTATGCCCACACAGAAAAAAATTTGCTGTAAAATGTACAATCCACGTTTTTGTGTACGTAAAATACTGGGGCCTGAACTCTGGACCAAGACACTGTCCCTGAGGCTTTTTGGTAATTTCTTGGAGATGAGTCTCATGGACTTTTCCTGCCCTGACTGGCTTCATACTTTGATCCTCAGATCTCAGTGTCCTGAATAGCTAGGATTACAGGTATGAGCCACCTGTGTTGTATAATCTTTTTGTTTGTGTGTGGTAGGGCTTGGACTCTGGGCCTGGGCACAGCACTGTTCCTGGTCTCTTCAGCTCAAGATGAGTGCTCTACCACTTGAGCCACAGCACCACTTCCAGTTTTCTGGTGGTTAATTGGAGATAACAGTCTCATGGACATTGCTGCTGGGGCTGGCTTAGAACCACAATCCTCAGATCTCAGCCTCATGAGTAGCTAGCATTATAAGCATAAACCACTGACCCCCAGCTATAATCCTATTTTTTTTAATTTTTTTTGGGGGGTCCAGTTGTGGGGCCTGAACTCTGGGCCTGGGCGCTGTCCCTCAGCTCTTCAGCTCAAGGCTAGTGCTCTACCACTTGAGCCACAGCGCCACTTCTGGCTTTTTTCTTTTTGCTTATGTGGTGCTGAGGAATCGAACCCAGGGCCTCAGGCATGCAAGGCAAGCGCTCTACCACTGAGCCACCTTCCCAGCCCTATAATCCTATTTTTAAGTGCACAGTTCAGTAGTGTTAGTATATTCACAGTGTTTGTAAAGCAGATCTCCAGATTGTTTTTGTAAATCCAAAACTCCTTACATACTATATAACCACTTTTCCCTTTCTCCTAATCCCTGGTAACCACTATTTTACTTTGTCTTTGAATTTGGCTACTTTGTCTTTGAATTTAGATACCCTATTTATGTGAATCATATAGTCTTTGTCTTTGAGTAACTGGTGTATTTTGCTTAGTACAGCGTTCTGAAGACTCACCCATATTGTAGCATATGACTCTGTTTTCTTTTCTAAGGCTGAATAATATTCCATATTTTGCTTCTCCAATTGAGTTGATTCCACCTCTTTACTATTCTGAGTAGTTCTGCTTTGAACCTGTTTGTGCAAAGTCTATTTAAGTTAAAAATTTAAAAATTAGCTGGGCAGGGGTAACAATGCTCAATAGGAAATGTACTCATTACCTTATTCATGTAACTGTAACCCCTGTGTACAGTATCTTTACAATAAAAAATATATTTTAAAAAATTAGCTGGGCATGGTGACTCACACCTGTAATCCTAGTTATTCAGGAGGCTGAGAGCTAAGGATCATGGTTCAAAGTTAGCCTGGACAGGAAAGCTGTTGAGACTCTTAACTAACTACAAAACAGAAGCGTGCCTCAAGTGGTAAAACACTAACCTTGAGCATAAAGCTCAGACAGCGCCCCAAGACCCATGATAGATACAAAAATAAACAACAAAAAAAAAACATTTTAAAGTTAAAGGAAAAATTGATTTTTAATTTATGTCTAAGTAATATATCAAATACTCTGCCTCCATTAGAAAAAGCCACCTCATGGATAATTGTATTGACTGAACCTATATTTCTTAACACATAATTCAAATGTGTGCATAATGGCTTTTATTAGATATAATGAATGAACTAAATCATAAACTCTACCAAAGAAAATTTATATATATACAATCAGCTTAAAAAAAATAGGGATGAGGGGATGTAGGTAGCAAAAAAATAGTTTTTCCAAAGGCACCAAATCTTATCACAAACTCTTCTTATTCTGATATACCTAATCCAAACAACTACTGACATGTATCCACAGCCCTGATTTAAATGTTAAAATACCTGTAGATATTAACCTCCAAAAAAAATTTTTTTTCAGTCCTGGACTTTGAACACTGGGGTTTAGGCACTGTCCATGAGCTTCTCTACTCAACCTGGACTTTGAACACTGGGGCTTAGGCACTGTCCATGAGCTTCTCTACTCAACCTGGACTTTGAACACTGGGGCTTAGGCACTGTCCATGAGCTTCTCTACTCAAGGCTAGTATCCTACCACTTGAGCTACAGCTCTACCTCTGGCTTTTTGTGGCTAACTGGAGATTCAAGAGTTTCATGGACTGTGTTGACTTTGAACCATGACCCTTAGGTCTCAGCCTCCTGAGTAGCTAGGATTACAGACATGAGCCACCAATGCCCAGCCTGAATTATTATTGTATACATATATTTTTTTCCTTTTTTTTTGTCAGTTGAACTCAACCTGCACACTGTTCCTGAGCTCTTCAGCTCAAGGCAAGTGCTCTACCACTTCAGCCACAGCTCCACTTCCAGTTTTCTGGTGGTTAATTGGAGATAAAGGTCTCACAGACTTTCCTGCCCGGGCTGGCTTTGAACTGGGATCCTCAGATCTCAGCCTCCTGAGTAGCTAGGATTACAGGCGTGAGCCACTGGCACCTGGCTCTTTAATATATTATAAAGCATGTTATTAGAAAACATCGATCAACCAACACACACACAGAATCACGTTCAAATGTTGCATGGTCAAAATGTATCTGAAACCAGTTTAGCGGTTCCTTTTGGTTGACTTCTTCTTCTGTCCCTCTTTGTGCTTCTTTTTTTTCCTCTTACTACCTTCTTTGAATCCTGCTGAGATAATAGAAGGATCCCAGTTGCTAGTGACCCAAGGTATACCTTGTTGATGATTGTCCACAAAAGGAAATGGAGATACGTGTTTGGGACTGTAGGAATTTGATGGATAATGGGTGAATGACTGCCTTCTCCAGTTGCGTTGTGCAAAGCCTTCTTCATCTGCCACTCTGTTCATAAGGAAGGATTTCAACTCACCATCATCTTCAATTTCTGTTTCCTGACCATACTCAATTTTCTTTGTACTAAGACTTCTGCCGCTTGTAATTTTGCGTGAAGTTGTAACAGGTATGTACTTGCCCATCTCACTGCCATCAAATGTCCGGGAAGAGGATGAAGTAAAGCCTTCATGCCCCAGTGAACCATAGGATGTGTATCTTGTGTCATAGGAAGAAAATCTCTGATAAACTGGTTGGTTACTGGAAGTAGGGAAAAAGGATCCTGTACCTCTCCTTCTTCCACAGGTGTGTCTTGGACTATTTAAAAGATCCTGAAGTGAGTCTTCAAAGAAGTGAAATGAAAATGGATCCCTTTCACCAAAAAATTCTTTAAAGACATCATCTGTCTTATAGAATGTGAAGCTTTCCTCACATTCATTATCAAAATGACTTCTGCCTCCGCCATCTAATCCTTTTTTGCCATATTTATCATAAATGACCCGTTTTTCATTATTTGACAGTACCTCATATGCCTCAGCTACTTCTTTGAATTTTTTCTCTGCTTCTTCTTTATTTTCTGGATTTTTATCAGGGTGCCATTTAAGTGCTACTTTATGGTAAGCTTTTTTAATGTCCTCGGATGAGGCGTATCTCTGCACTCCTAGAACTTCATAGTAATCCACCATATTTTAACAGATGATTGGAAACGAGTGCACTGGATAGCGAGCACTGTAGTTTCCTTGCAGCTCAGGCTCTGCTGGGATGGTTTGGTGGTAGAGGCAGTGACTGCATGTAGATAGGCACATTTTTACATTGATGGTAATGCCACCATGAGCCACTGTTAGGACTTTGATTGTGTGTCAGGCAGAGGTAGAGCTTATGTCAGAGAGGGCTGTATTATGGTGTCATTCTGGGGTAGTGACAGGGACTGGACCTTCCAAATAGAGCTGGTCCAGTCATACCATCTAGAACCTTCTGTACTGTTCTCCTATATTACTCTGGAAACCTCACACAATGCCTCATAAACCAATTGGATCTGTTGCTAATGGTCACAACATTGTGCAATTCAGCCTCCAGATTACTGAGCCTTAACTACTGCTACTCAGTTCTCCAATGTTTTTCTTTAGAGAAATGAAGACTTAGGAAATAGTAAACTACTCAAGCAGGTAACATTTACTCAAGGCAAGAGACTTAAAGCTCAGCAGAAGTTACAAACAAGTAATTCAGTACAGTATAATAAGGACAATGGGGGAAGGAGCACTGGGTGCTAAGCAGTGCTTATGAGAGGTATCCCTAGACTGAGTGTCAGGGAAGACTTTCTGGAGCACATAGCCTAATATAGTCTTTCTGAGTGACAGTGGTGAGTCATTTAGAGTGTTGGTTCCTGTGTCCATCTAGAGTTTATTCCTTTGGAGTAGAAGTATGGCTCAAGTGGTAGAGGGCCAGTCTAAGTGACAGTACCCAGGCCCTGAGTTCAAGCCCCAATACTGTCACACAATAAAAGAAAAGAAGGTCCTGAGTTCAAACTCCAGGACTAACAAAAAAAGTTTACCACCATAAAAAAATGTAGCTAAACCTTGAGCTGAAAAGAAAAAGAAAAAAAAATGTAGCTAAAGATTTTAGAAGTTGGAGCCAGGCGCTGGTGGCTCACACCTGTAATCCTAGCTACTCAGGAGACTGAGATCTGAGGATCGCGGTTCAAAGCCAGCCCGGGCAGGAGAGACCATGAGACTCCTATCTCCAATAAACCACCAGAAAACCAGAAGTGGCGCCGTAGCTCAAGTGGTAGAACGCTCGCCTTGAGCTGAAGAGCTGA